CAAAACCTCAGTCTTGTCTGTTCAACAGGAGAAAATTAAGGGTCATCCAGGTTTTTATGTCTTTAAGACATGCTTGTAGTCTAAGTAGCTGATTGGATTCATTGGGTTTAATGGACAAATATAATTGTGTGTCATCAGCATATCAATAAAAAATTATCCCATGCTGTTTAATAACTTTACCTAATTTTTTTTTTTCATTTTCATTTAGCCTTTATTTATACAGGTTAGTCTCATTGAGCCACGAGAACTCATTTTCAAGAGAGACCTGTTTAGGGAGCACATGGTGGGGGTTAAGGGCCTTGCTCATGGGCCCAGAGTGGGGCGAATGAGGGTGGGGGCAGGTGTGGGTGTTTCACCTACCCCACCCACAATTTTGATGTTGTCGGGGCCGGGGCGTGAACCGGCGATCTTCGGATCACAAGGAAGCATATATAAAGTAAAGAGTATTGGTCCAAGCACTGAGCCCTGAGGAACTCCATGACTAACTTTGGTGTATGAAGAAGATTCATTATTTACCTTTACAAATTGGAATCTATCAGATAGATATGATTTAAACCATTTTAGAGCTGTTCCTTCCTGTAATCCCAGTATCATATTCAAGCCTCTGTAGTAAAACATTGTGATCAACTGTATCAAATGCAGCACTGAGGTCTAACAGGACCAGTAGAGACACCAGTCCATTGTCTGAGGCCATGAGAATATCATTAGTGACTTTCACCAGTGCAGATTCAGTGCTGTGGTGAACTCTGAACCCTGACTGAAACTCTTCAAACAGATTATTTCTTTGCAGATCCGACACTGAAACACACTAATACACTTTTATTTTTGAGGGGGAACAAAATATAGACTTTTTAATTGTTTTCTTTTGTTTCAAAAGAAAAAGTCCAGGCAGAGATTGACAATGTGATCGGACAGGTCCGGCAGCCCTCAATGGCCGACAGACCAAACTTGCCGTACACTGATGCCGTCATCCATGAGATCCAGAGGTTTGGAAACATAGTGCCTCTGAATGGACCCAGGGTCGCTGCCAAGGACACAACTCTGGGTGGTTACTTTATACCAAAGGTGCTTTTCTAGTACGATCATAAGTCATTTGTTGTGGGGGGGTTGCAGCCAACTTTTGTGTATTCCTGTGATTTTTCATGATAGGGAACATCTATAGTGCCTGTCCTGACCTCTGTGCTGTTTGACAAGACTGAATGGGAAACTCCAGACACCTTCAATCCCGGACACTTTCTGGATGCAAATGGAAAGTTTGTGAAGAAAGACGCCTTCCTGCCCTTCTCTGCAGGTACACCAACCTTTTCCTACTCTGGTACCTGCCATGCGAGTAAAACAAGTCATTCATATTTTTAGTTTCCTCTGTCACTGAGGGATGCGAACAGAGAATGTTAGAAGTTTTAGTGGTTTTCAGGACTGGAAATGAGCAGGGAAATCTTAATGCTTTCATTCATTCAACATTTGTTTCTACAGGTTAGTCACACTGAGCCACGAGGACTCATTTACAAGAGAGACCTGTTCCAGACAGAACATTTAAAGTACAGACAACAGTAATAACAAGTAACGACAGTAAAAATGCAGTTAAAATAAGAGTAGTGTACAAACAATAAGTCAGGGTGCTGTAAAACAGGGAGAACACTAAAAACAAGAACATGTTTGCTTTGATGTTTCTATTGACTTTATCAAATGTTTGAAACCCTGTAAACAAATCAAGGAGGACAACTTGAGTTCCTGTTGTAAGGTGTTCCAGGTGCAGGACCTGAGCAGGAAAAGGCCTTGTTGCCAAGTTCAGTCTGCACTGAGAGAACGCTGCAGGTAATGATGTCCTGAGAGCGCACGCTGTAGCTGCACTGACGGAGTGACATGTGGGAGGAGACATAAGACGGCAGCAGACCAAGGAGGGATTTATAGATGAACATGAACCAGTGTGAGAGCCTCCGTGTAGATAATGATGACCAACTGACCAAGGAGTACAGGGTGCAGTGATGGTACGTAGTTACAACCAGTTATGAATCTTAGCGCACCATGATAGACAGCATCCAACATCTGCAAAGAGCTGGCAGGATCATTCATGTAAATCATGTCACCAGAGTCAATGGTCAGTAGGAAAGTAGCTGTTACAAGGCACTTTCTGGCATTCAGAGTTAAACAAGATCTATTTCTGAAAAGAAACCCAGTTTTACTTTCAGTTATCAAGTTTTCAATATGTGGTTTAAAAGAGAGATGTGCGTCGACCAAAATTCCCATTTGTAAGAACCTACAAACTCAACAGGAACACCATGCACAGATGAGATAGGAGGAAGAGTTGATGGCACCGACTTTCTGTTGGAAAACAACATCCCTTTGGTTTTGTCAGCGTTTAGCAACAGTTTGAGATGGAATAAGTTTGACTGGATGATGTTTGATGCAGACTGTAAAAACTGGAAAACCTTAGCAACTGTGTTAGCTCTGCTATAAACAACATTGTCATCAGCATAGAGATGCAAGGATGTGTCAGGAATGTTTTGACCTACATTACTTATATAAATTGTAAAAAGAGTGGGACCTAAAACTGAGCCTTGTGGCACACCATTAGTGACTGTTAGGTAGCAGCAAGATGAAGTGCCGTTATGTCGAACGCATTGTCTCTGACCTGAGAGATCGTTTGAGAACCAACAGTGTGATCTGAGAAGCCAATATCTGAGAGCTTGTGGCATAAGATGTGATGGTCTACAGTATCAAAGACTTTGGACAGGCCCAAGTAAAGTGCAGCACAGTAATCCTAATTTAAAAAAAATGTTTTTTAATGCAAAATATTCAAGTGGGTAGGAGTTACACTGTGTGGAAGAACAGAGGTGGGGTTTGTTTTCTTGTCAGAGGCAGTGCAAGTGACGGATCCTGGCGAGTGGAGGGAGCAACTTTCTACACAACCAGTCACAATGGTGGAGCCAGAGGGTGGCCACTGGCGGCCTTGGCCACCATAGATTAATCTTCTAGTTTATATACATGTGTTGTCATTCATTTTCACCCTTTGTGTGTGTGTGCACCCTTTAGGGAAACGTGTGTGCCTTGGAGAAGGCCTCGCCAAGATGGAGCTGTTCCTGTTTTTGGTCGGCTTACTGCAGAAGTTCACCTTCTCTGCTCCTGAAGGAGTCGAGCTGAGCACAGAAGGAGTAACTGGATTTACTCGCGTTCCTTCACCCTACAAGGTTCATGCCAAAGCTCGCTGAGTTACGCAACCTTGCACCGAGTCCTTTTCAACTCCAGAGAAAACTGAGTAAAAAGGTTTCAGCTGAATAAGCTGTTATTTTACCGCCTCTGTACTTTAGTGTTGTAAAATCGCTGCCCTCGAGTAAAAGCTGTTAAAATCGCTTCAGTTAAGCATGTTGTGCTGAGTTACAGTTATTTTTCCACAATAATATTACTCTGTTAGTGCAGGTCAACCTGTATTAACTGACGAAAATGATTTCAGACCTATTTGCATCGAAACATAAACTGTAATCAACTCTGGTTGTTTTAATTCCATAAAAAGACACCATAATAAAATATTCATATTCAACATACAATCAGGAGAATTTTTTTTAAACAAAACTAAAATCTGTAGTCTTTTCAGAGCCAATAAACATCGTCTCTACTGACGTGTGTGTGTCTCACAGGAACCAACACAAAATGGCTCCAATTCAGGCAACTTCACAAACATGGAGCTACATTTCATGTAGTAGTAGCTGAGGGTAGGCCTCGATACAAACTCTGAAGGCTTTCACATCTGGCAATGTACTGCATGATCCGTTTTCTGGACTGGAATTGAACCGAGAACGTCAGTAAACCTAAATGTTTTTGATGCAAGATATTCAGGTGTGGAGGAGTTACACTGTGGAGAACAGAGGGAATTTATTTATTTTTGTCCATGGTAGCGCATCATGACGAATCCTGGCGAGTAGAGGGAACAATTTTATCCACCAGATGCGATAACGGAGCCAGGCGGTGGTCAGTGCTGTCCTTGACCCCCATAGATTAATCTTCAGCCATCCTAAACATTTGAGGAAACTATATTTTTAAGCAATATAAAAACTAGAAAGCATAGTTTCCTCAAATGTTAGGGACGTCCAGTTTAGATGGCCATCTTAGATTTTGACCCGTATCTAAAGGAACTTTAGACGCAGCCACACATCAAACAGGAAGTCAGTACCTCACATATGTTCCATGTTATCCTGCTCACAACATGCATGGAGTGTCTTTACAGTTGACCATTTTTGCTCCACGATGGGGGACAGTCGTAGATGGACTGTGAGGTTTCATCTTTTTGTATGTCTTCATGCTGGGCGTGGCTGCTCCCACTCAGCTGTTTTCCTGTAGAGCTGATTACCACCTGCTGCTTGAGGCGGAGCTGACTCATTAGTCTTCAGTGGTCCGTTAGTTTCACATCATCAAGGTTTCATTTCTGGCTCTGCCAAAGAATTATACTACTTGTCTCTGGAACGTTAGGGTTAGCAAGGTTAACAACAAAGTCCATGCTCAATAATCCAGGTATACCATCCAACATTTTTCAGTCAGGTCATCTGGACAGATGACCTGACTGAAAAATGTTGGGTTATCAAGATTAGCCTTTCCCTCGCTTCTCCTGGATTTACAGAGTTGGCATCAGATTATTCATTTAGTCTCTCCTCCTTGCCAGACTCGTAGACTCTCCACATCTATCATTTTAGAGGAACAAAGGTACAACATCTGTTTTGTTTTACTTCATTGTGCAAGAAAACTCTTCCAATCATGTGAGTTCCAACAATCAAATCCATTGAGAAGCTAAAGCTCATCTAGTGCATTTATTCCCTGGATCATTTTAAAAGGTTATTTTTGTGTTTGGCGTCTTTACAGGTTCAGTCTGTTTTATAGAATTTTTGGGAAGTTTGCTCATGTTTAAAAACCACTGAGTGAAAAGTTCTCGTGAAGCCAATTGGACAAACATGAGTTTTGAGTTAACGTCTCTTCATATGTTTCCTGCTGCATATCTGATATTTGGTCAAAGGGACGACAGCTTAAACACAACGTTTCTGACCTTCCTCACTACAGCTAACCTTCAGCTCCTCCGGGGAACGCTGAGGCGTTCCCAAGCTTTAAAGACTAATAAAATGCATCACCGTTGACACCGCCTTATTTTGCTGCTTTGTTCTACCCCCACTTGTGAACAAGACCCCAACATATTAGACATTTTGCACTAGTAGCAGCTTGTTCCAAACCCAGAGGTGGAAATCTACAGTTTACCTGCTGAAGACCACAGCAGAGGGTTGAAGTTTCCACCGAGCAGGAAATTATTCTAGTGCCTTCTAGATGTTCCTGCTTCCAAGAGGATCACATCATCACCAAGAATTGGGTTCATACCAAATTGTTTACAGGGGCTGATGCTTACAAACCAGACCCCTCGTCATGGAGCAAAAAGAGGAAACAGGAAGTACCTTCTGTCCGTCTGTCCACATGTGCATTGTAATGATTTACTAAGTACCAAGATAGAGGTAACTGAAAAGAGCAACTCCAAGATCAAGAACAATTAGTTTATTTATAATGAGTAAATATCAATGATTGGCTGCAATGCTGCTGGGAGGGACTGAAACCCTGGAGAGCAAGGACAAGGGTTATTATGAAGGTCTTGGTCCTTGAGGATGTTTCAAGATATATTTCTATCTTACTGTTGGAGGAAAAGGTCATCAAAGGAATGAGTGTAGGCAAGTGGTGGAAGGCGAGGAATGGCTGGAGAAGTTACAAGGAGGAGGATCAAACTAGGGAGGTCCAGGGAGTCAGAGCTGAAACACATGCAAACACCGTTTAGTCTTTACAAATCACTAGGAGGGTAAAGTGGCTGGAAACACAACTACCAATTAATGCACCAGTGTCCAAGTGAAGTCATCAACTGCCTTTTATACTCCTGCAGCTCATCAGGTGAGTGGTCCACAGGTGTGCACTCGTTGGCGCCATCTAGTGTCTTGAAGCTGCAGGAGAACCACTGAAGCTCCTTCATGCATGTTGTAAGCATGGTGACTTGAAAAATGGAGGGGGGAGGGGTGGTCATGCATCATTTGATGTATTTTAAAGTTATAGGGAAAAATCTTCTGCTCTCAAGACTTTGAAAGAATATTAAATAAGATGCATTATTGAAAGTGAACAATATAAAATGATGTCAATGATGACAGGAGAATAACTGTTGAGAAAAACAAGGAGGAAAATTATTAGTTGTGTGTAAATGAGTAGGTTAGTGGCAGATGTATGGGTAACAGAAAGCTCATAAAAGTTTATTGTTTATTGTCCCAGTTGCAAAGTGACAAGTGGAAACTAGAAATACCCTCCCTCTGTCCATGAATGTTGTGAACACGATAACTTGGACAATACGTGAGGTATCAACTTCCATTTTGGTGTGTGGCTGCGTCTGCGTAAGAAAAGTTTCTTTCAAAAATTGGTTTGCCAGGTAAAAATCCAAGATGGCCGCTGCCATAACTTGAAACAATAAGCAACAAGCCAACTTTCTTACTGGCCTGTGGCTGCTTCTAGATGTAAGAGAGGCTCATGTCCAAACTGGGGTTTCCATGTCAAAGTCTAAGATCGGAGCCCCCATATGTAATCCGGCCACCCCATCATTTCATTTCTAGTTTTTATATTTTTAATAGTATAGTTTCCTCAAATGATATTAGCCACCCCTGGCTGTCACCTCACAGCAAAAATGGCATAGGTTCACCTCCCAGACTTACTGGTGGAGGGTGCATGTTCTCTATGGGTTTTCTGGTTTCCTCTCATAGAAAATAAACTTTGGTTACGTACTGTAACTCCAGATTCTATGAGTATAGACGTCGCTCTTTAAGAGCGGTAGATGTTGGGTTAAATGGTTACTCTCATTTGTCCCTAGGAGTGTTTGAATGGGTATTTGTCTTGTTTATCTTTTTGTGTCCCAGTGATGGACCTGTCCAGGGTGTCCTCTGTCTCTCACACAGTGACTGCTGAAGACAGACATCAGCTCCTCTGAACCTGGAAAGAGAAACGGGTAAAATAAATAAATAAAAGAAGATTAAGGGATTTTTCAGCATTTTGGGACAAAGTCTGAAAACGTTTCTTGCTTCATTGATGGTTCAGATGGTATTGTGTTATAATGGATGGATGGATTGATTGATGGATGGATGGATGGATGGATGGATGGAATTCACAAGATTTTCTCGCTCAAGGTCTAACAGTGTCTAGAATGCACTGTAGGCCTCTGAGCACATTTAAATATTGAAGTGTTGGTTTAAGGGTACCAGTTTATAACCATTAAAGAACTCTGTTTAGTATTCCAGTAAAGGAAAAAAAAAGTTACATAACTTAAAAAACAAAACAAACAAAAAACATGCAAATTATACTAAATGTGTTGAGCCAACTGTCAATAATGACCTATGATTTTAGTAATGTCAAATCATACAAGTAGGTCAAATTTACAAAAATAAAGTGCCATAAAAACATAAGATCGATGGAATTTCTGGAGAAAAACGTGAGAAACCCCGACAGTTTTTGGAGCGCCCACAGCTCCGACATACTTCAGTAAAAACATTCAAAGTTTAAAGGAGTCAAAGAACGTTAGTCTTTACATATTTGAACTGGAATTTAGTTTTTTGCAGTTTTTACACAATCAGTCTTGTATTTCTTTCACTCAGTGTCTCTAATTGCTATGGGACCTCTGGTTTTTCTCTCAAACCCCCTCAGAGTTCAGAACGTGCACACCCAAGCTTCCATGGACACAGTGGCAAACCGTGGCTTTTAGAGCTGTGCCTTGAGTTTGGATAAAATATTTAGTCATGCAATCTGTGCTTCTGATTGCTGCAGAGTCACCACACCCTGTTTTTGTTGCAGCTAAAGGGCGCACTGCGAAGTTCAACAAGTTCAGGATTTACTTTTTCAACCTGTGTTGATAATTTTCAAAACTTTCTACTAGAACACGATGGGTGCTATGGTGGTGGTTCGGATATTTTTTAGTCTTGTTAACACTGGAAGACGACCCGGCAAGGATGCCCAAAATAATCTGCCAGATGGTGGAAAGTCCAGACAAGGTCTTCAACTGTGGATTAACAAAACACACTGGACTCATTTAATATGTGCGATGGTACCACAATGGTTCTGGGCATACACAAAATCTAAGGTTGTGGTGATTTTTGTCATTGTGGTGTAGCTTAATGGCGTTCTGGGTGGAGGCAGTGATGGAAGCCTGTGATGGGCCCATGGACGTGGATTTGTTGTTGAGAATTTAAAGCAAGACTGACCTCACTGGTGTCCTACTTAGGCTACAACCATGACTGTAACAAGGTTATAGCCTAGAACTGATGTGATATCCATGACGGCAGAGCCAGGGTAGTATGACATGGTCTTCTAGTGCAAAGTTGCATCCTGATACTGTCCCCCCCAAAAAACACCCGCTTCGGATGTTATCAGCCATTAAATGGTCGTTATTAGTTGTTATCATCCCCATATGTAGCGGTGAGACTGCCCCTCCTGTACCACCTGGTGGGTTTAAAGGTACGTTGTTAGCGATGATAACGGGCTCTGTTTTTAGCTTCGT